TGTCTTCAGCGATCATGTTGGGAAGGTAGATATCATGAATTTATTATAAATAAATTTTGTCTTTCCTATGGATGAGTATATCCAGGTGAGCACCTGTAATACAAATTTCAATAATTACATCCCAAGTGGCTAAATATCATAAAATAAGGTTCTTGAATACTAATATTTATTTTTAAGATTTAGACATTTTTAAGTGAAACAAAGCCATAAAACCAAACTCTATTAAGCTGTATCCATCATATCTCATATTCTTCTATGAAAACAAATATTAATTAAAAATTATACGTGGAAACAGCTGAGCCGTATCTGACTTCCTCTGGCTACTCAAGGTAGAAGAAAAATCCAACTCCACCCAATTGCTGTAAGGCAGAGGGCAGCCATGCTTCTACCTTCTGTCCTTTTTTAGCCTATTCTGACACCAGCTGCTCCTCCCATGACACTAAATTTTCCTTTTGGTCTCAATACTTTGGTGCAATTGCCACAGAGAACTAAAATAGATAATATTATTGATTAAAGGGGTTTTTTAGGGAATTTAACAGGTTACCAGATATGAGGATCAGGAAACAGTAAAGATACTATCACTATTCCACAGCGTCAGCTCTCATCAGTCATAGTGGCCAAGTCCCTCCCCAGCATTCAGCTTAGTCATGTGTCCCATGGCCTCTGTCTCCACCGGCAAGGAACCCCTCCAGCTGCTTGGCCTTACAGTCTCATAGTCTTGGCACATCTCTTCTGGTTTCTCTCAGGGTCTCCTTGCCTCCACCTTAGGTCTTAGTCACCATGGGTCCTTTGCTCTCTCCCATGGTCTCCTTGCTGCAGCCTCTGGGTTTTGACATGTCAAAATGAGAACCCCAATGTGCTCCACTGGTGGCTCTTCTTCCAATAGTCTTAGGACTTCTCTCTATGTGTCCTTCTGAGATGCATCATATACACAGAAGAATGTCTCTGCTCGAGTTGCAGCAGACCACATTCCCAAGGAAAAGGGTGATGACCTGGTTTACATCCTCTACTAAGGCAGACTCAGAATACAGTCCTCTTTAATCCTTTAAGTGGCATAACAGAGAACTCCTTCTAAAATGAGATTGTAACCACACACATAGAGGCTAGCATTTATAATCCATAGCATAAGGGATTATGGCCAGAAGGACCATATTAGTTGACTACATCTCAGTTAAGATCAGACTTTCTAAACTGTGGAAGAGACAAGCAGATTATTCTTCTCGATAGTTAAATTATTGTGTTGGTTATGTCTAAACTAGAGATTTTCAGTAAATCAAAACTCATTGAAAGTTTGAGAGAATTTATCTTTGATAAAATAACACGATTGCCTCATACAAATATAGGAAATGCTAATTTCCCAATATTGATTATTGATATATAGCTTTAGTAAAAGTAGCTTAGTGGTTAAGGGAATATATAGTATAGCCAATCTGTACTTACTCTATATTGTTGTGTAAATCTGCCTTCACAATTGAAATCTGCCTGAAACAATTGAATCAACCCCTCCTTGTAACAAACTCTTTATCACAATAACTTTCCCTGTTAGTCCCTCAAGACTTTTTTTTTTTTAATCATTTTATTGGGACTTTTCTTGCAGTAACCTAAACCAAAACCAATCCCACTACTATCTAACATATTCCAAGTCTTAGCAATCCTATCAAGCAAAGTCTCCAAGGCTGTAGTTTTTAACCAGGTAAGACTGCTACATCTTTCTTCCTTCAGAGGTGACATCAGGGAAGTTCAGAAAGTTAGATCACTTGTTTAAAAAGATGGAAGTGACTGGAAAGGGAAACATGAGATCAAACTATCGCAATGTCAAGTGGTTAGCAGCCTGGCCTGTAATCATGGATGTTGGGTTGCTCTTTGCTTTAACAAGGTTTTGTATATTTGTGAGCAAAAAAGTGCAAGGATGAAGATCAGAGTAGAGTCTGATTGCAGAGATTATAAATTGGCATCATGTGAATAGAATATGGCTATTAAGGAAAGTTTCTTTCAATTGCATAAAGGAAAAACACACACTTTGGACATGTTGTCGAGAGAAATTAGTCCCTGGAGAGGGACATCATGCTCTATTAAGTAGAGGGGCAGTGAAAAAGAGGAAGACCCGCAACAAGATGGACTGATACAGTGGCTGAAACAAGGGACTCAAACGTAAGAACAGCTGTGGGGATAGCACAGGACCAGGCAGTGGTTCCCTTTGTTGTGTGTGCAGTTGATCTGAGTCAGAATTGACTAGACAGCACTTATGAACAATAACAGAGGAAAAAGAAATCAAACCAATCAAATAAATTTGGAGCCAAATTAAGAGATTTCTCATAAAATTCCTGATTTTAAGGGACACTAGAGCAGTCAATTGGGCATTGGATAAGGAAACTATAGAAGAATCGATGCATTTGAATTGTGGTGCTGGGAAGAATTTTGAAAGTACCATGGACTGCTAAAGGGCTAGAATGAGAAGTTTTGGCAGAAGGCAGGCCACAGTGCTTCTTAGAGTCAAGTATTGAAAAACTTCTTCTTCCATACTTTGGACATGTTGTCAAGAGAGGCCAGTCCCTAGGGAAGGGACATCATGTTTGGTAAAGTGGAGGGGAAGCAAAAAAAAAAGGAAGACCTTGACAAGCTGAATGGACACCGTGGCTCTATCAATGGACTCGGGCATAGAAACAATTGTGAAGATGGTGCAGAACGAGGCAGGGATTTGTTCTTGTGCATAGGGCTGCTATGGGTTTGAGCCAACTCCATGGCACTTAACAACAATGACAGAGAAATCAAAAGATTTAACAGCGTGATAAGACTCATCCCAAGTATTGGTTGGCTGAAGTTAACAGTAGCCATGTTAACATCAACATCTTTTTCTCCAGCTTTTCTTCTCTCAGTTTACCCACCTCGTGTTTTCTTCTCTGCATTTAAATTTGACATCCTTATGATAATTCTGAAGAAACAGTGAGTTTTGGGGACCAATGGGGGAGAGAAACACAGGTATCATTTAGAACAGGGTAAGAATCTGTATTTCTTAGGGTAGTTTGAAAAGAGAGAAGACATGGATGATTTTTTTAAATGGCAAGAGTTGCTCTATAAGAACAAGCACTAATTTTAATATTGGAATAATAAAGGAAGGGTGAGAATGATATAAGACTGCAGATCAACTAACTTGGATCCACAATGCTCAAGGAAGCAGTCAACTAATTAAACGATGCAATATATGGTAAATTTGTTCCAGAATATTTCCTTAAAGTGTTGAAAAGCAGGGATGTCATTTTGAGGACTAAGGTGCACCCAAGACATGGTATTTTCAGTTGCCTCATATG